CTGGAACCGTAGTTTATTGCTATGCCTATTGTTTCCAATAAGCCGTGGGTACCTGATGAAAACGACTGAATTCTTCAGATCTCCAGTAAGAGAGCTGGAAACAGTGGCTAGATTGCACACAGAGAGATGAAATTTTCCACAAGACTTGATAATGAAAAGCATTTCAAAGTTTAGAGAATAGATATAATTAAGAAATCTTGCTAGATCCAGTAATTAGAAGCAATCGCCCGGTAACTTCAAATAAGAACTGAATATGATCAATTGGCATAGCTACCTTCAGGCGCACATTATTATCAGAAATGTGAGACGATGGCCGAAGTTTTGAAAAATGGAGAGTGAGTTCATGCGAAACGTTAACGAGCTTAAACTAATAACATAAACGTAGTTTACAGAATATCGAACTAAAAGATATGGATGACATTCGATGAATCAAAAACTGCACTGTCCGAGCCCACCGCACTCGAATTCAAATAATCTGCACCAGCCAGCTTCATTAATTTGCTGCTTTTGGGAGGTCCTTTATAGGAGCCTCCAATAAAGAACAAAACAACTCGGAATTCCTGCAGCTCATTGAGAAAATATTCAGTTTCTGCAGTCGCTCAAAAGAACTGCCTGAAGCAAAACGATCACAGTTCTATTTTTTGATCTTTCCAATTTGTTTGTGTGCTTGACATGAAAATTAGAAAACAGTGATACAAATGCGGGGTAGGAAACTCAGAAATAATAATAGTGAAGTTGATGAATAAGGCCACATCAGTCGGTGAGATATTCGCAGCAATCAACAGTTGAAAATAACGACGTTCATGTGAGGAGCTTATGAGCTGATGGAGTGATTTGAGATGTGGCACATCGAGATGGTTTCTCGATTTGTTTGACCATCTCTTTGACAACACCCAAACTTGGATCCAATAGAACTTCATTCAATTGTGCACACTGCTCCACTGTCAATGGCGTTCGCTGCCTTAAATAATAAAAACTTATCGATGCTTACAGCTCTATGATAAACATTCAGTGCATGCTTAAATAAAATTCATTCAGTGTATCCTTCAAAACATCATAAATAAAAATCAAGCAGTGTTTGGTCGAACCTCGCCAGTTGCAAGCCACTCGAATATCGACGATCTGATTGATTGTGAGCGATTTTTACGTAGGGTGGTGAAATTGTACTGGGAGCAGAGGATTTTCTGCTTTGATACTCAGTCACAGTGACTCGTAATGGAATGTTGTTTGGAGCTGTATATGATGAAAATGATTTCTGAAATGTTTAATAACATTGCTATTTCCACGTATTTGTTTAGCATCCGATCACTCAAATGGTCGATGCTAAATTGGCATCTTAAACATCTGAACCAGTAATATAGTCGTCACATTCTTAGATGGTTAGACTGTCGAAAATAGAAAGTTTTGAAGGTGTTTCATTCAGGTACGATATGAACTCAGTTGTTCCAGTGCTTAAATTGCTTAGTTTCTCCTTAGTTCATGAGAAAAGATCACTGGCAAAGCAAAGATTCTCGAATTGATGAGAGAAATTTTGAGATGATTGAAGATGAAAAGAAATCCAGAGATCACTCACCCCATCAACACAATTCTCAACATTTTTACTCATCGCATTCTTATGACGAAGTCGCCACACTTGTTCGGCCACTTGCGAGGATCTTCGTCGATGATGTACATTCGCTGGGCCATTATTGAGTCTGTAATTCAACAGCTTCGTTCACCTCGATGATTATTAAAATATTTAAAACGATGCAATTTCTCAGCGAATTTGTATGCACAAATCGGTTCAGTGTAACAATCGGTACCTATTGCGAACGGCTGGCGATTCAGTCCAATTGACACCTTTCGGTACGTCATCGTCATCTGTTTCGTCGGTATCCGACGCATGAGCTTTCATCTTTTCATCCAACATTTTGGCGAAATCCGATCCGTTCATGAATACTTCAGAATTATTATCTGGAATAAACTATCTTCAATAAAACTGCGATAAATTCATTTATTTGAATGATCAATCCGCTCATTATTCATTACTGGTTGGTACTGACTGTGATTTCATGAATGGTACTGATACTGATATTCTGTAAATCACAATCGTGAATGCGATTGTGATTTACAGAATTAATGCGCAACTGAAACATACCGATTGGTTCAACAACGAACGCTTCACTTGACTGATCGGCAATGAGGGATGAATCCGGAATGGGTGTAGACGTGCATATCAAATCATCAAATTTACTCAACGATTTCGAACGCTCTCGCCTCTCACGATCCGTGTTCTCTTCTAAAACGATTCTGCGTTACAAAAGTCGCCCATTAACATAGCAAGATGACAAAAATACCCCGACTCGTTCGTGCAAGATTCTGATGAGCAGTGGTTGAACGTGAGCATTCAAATTATTAAAATAGAAAGTAATTAGAAAGTGAAATGATCATAAAAGAAACCATTTTTTGGATTTGCGCTAATTGGTGACGACGAGTGAACTTTCTTGGATGTATGCGACTGTCTCATATCGCATTTCTTCTGTGAAGTTTCGGCTGGATTCGTCTTTTCAACAACGTTATCCGCATTTATAGCTAACAGATTTAGCTCCTGAAATGGAACACACTTAACTATTTTAAATATTTTCTCTTCATACATGCTATAATTAGGACCGAATCTCAAGCGCTCGAATAAGCGGATTTCCTCCGCTCCAGAAATGAGTGTTTATGAGTTATATATCGACGAGAATACGAAAACATGTTGACGTAAGTGAGAAGGAACTGGAGATAATTGCGCCAGAATTGCAACCTTGTAAAGCTCAGCGAAAGTGTTTTCGATGTGTTCACTAGCGGATGGAGAAGAGACGTTCTCTGATGAGGGTGATATGCGGGCAGATGATTCTTGTAAAGGAGTTGAACCGGTACCATTGCATGTACACTTTGCGCAACTGTTGGAACTTTTGAAATGACTGTGACTGAAATTGTTATTTTGTAAAACTGAGAAATTACATTCGCAATTACCGCTGATCAAGTGATTACGGCAAAATGAATTAGATTTTAGGATTTGAAGCTGTGAATATGCTAGAATGCATCGACTGAGAGGCAAAAGAAGGTAACCTGGCTAGATTTGTATCGTTGCGTTTCGCACAGTTATGAGCATTTGTTTGATCGCTAATAGATCCGGTGGTGTTACGCTGAAAACAATGAGCTGGATGATCGCTATTGAAACAACTAATGAATATAATCAACACTGAAAATGTCCGGTCAAATCGGAAGGATGAGATGACGATTTGGATTGATCAAGAACGATTTCATTTATAGACGACGTACCATGGTGGTTGCAGAGGGAAGTGGCGGAAGGAAGCCGTTGCGCTTTTTGCCATTCAATAGTTTCGGGCGTGAATTGTCGTGCGATTTACGTCTAGCGAACATACTGGAAATTGCAGTGGCCGAATTATCCACCGCACCAAAAGGTAGTGTTGGGGCAGCACTAAACGCACCATTGCTAACGAGCGACTTTGTCGTGAAACTAGACGTCGATGGCTGAAAATGATAGTTTTGAATTGAAACAGAGGATATATCACACCATAAAGTTGTGCAAATGAAATCTGCGAAAAAAGTGTGCTCGTGACGTGAATTTCGATAAGGGTTTAGAGTAAAACATTTTTACAAAATGTTCATAAACAGAATGATAAAATGAAGTTAATATGAAAAGCAACAGTCGACGCAAAATGACAGTGAAAATTGAATAACCGTGGCATTATTTTCAGACTTGCACGTGCATGCCGTAGGCGTTTCTTTAGCCGCTAAGCCGATATTGACTGCACTCAGCACAGGAATGAGGCTACCTGTTGAGGACTGAAAAAAGTATTGAAATAAAATCTGTAATAAAATGGAATCTCCCTCTGTTGCCGTTGACTCTAATCAAGAGCAGCCACAAGTTCTCATCAGATAAATACCAACGTCTAGACTGAAAGACCAACCAGCGAAATGATAAATGAAATTCATCGCCGCAATCGGAAATCCAATCTGACGTTCGCGTATTTGCAATATAATTGCAATGTTACGCCAAAAGTGAGCGGCCAATTTAATCAATCAATTACGAATTCTATTTTGTCACTTTTAATTCCATAAGGCACTGCTGACAGGAGTCCAACAAATTCTCATCAAACGACTAACCGCTTTAGAAACTCTAGATNCTCTAGATGTTGATCGTGTCCTTGAGTTGCTACGATCACGTCGCTGCGATCTGCGCACAGTGGTATTTGCATCAACACTTTTGCGCCTTTTCTCCAAATACTTCGGAATTTTTTTCACACCTTTTCCACCGTACACGGTCCCATCTAAAACAGTTTCATCTTAATTATTCAAAAATTCCAACGGAAGCGATCCACTGGTCAAAAATTTTGAAACTGATTTTGGCCGACTGTATCACATAGTGACTGTTGGTTGGAGCAGTTTACGCTATGAAACACCTGGTTTGAAGCAAAAATATGGTGCGAAAAAAACTTTCCGAAAACTGACCATGATCAGGATTGATAACGAAAGATTTTGGATTAGTAGTGTCCATATTCAACATCAACAGTTTGGTTCGTTCCGGTATCTCAACAGTATAATGATCCAACATCATTCGCTTCAGTTCTTTCATCCATTGGCGTTTTTGTTCGATGCTTGTCGACTACAATTCATTAGTAAGATTCGTAAAACATCTCGCATGCTTAATATCTTAAGAGAACAATTGGAATAACGTTAAGAAGAAAACATGTAGAGTGCTTACCAAGAAGGCGTATTGTACTTTAGGATTATCGAACGAGAGAACTTGAAATGCCAACGGATCCACAGAAATCGATTCATTCAGCATGATATTCGAACACTGAAATTCACCAAAGGGATATTCCCCATCTGCAGCCTTTCAAGGCGATTCAAAATTTATAGCAAGCTTGTATAGTCGCACTATGTTTATCGAGTGAGAGAACCTGTATGATCGCATCGCACTTTGGAAAAAAAAGCCTCAGTAACATCGGTAAACATGAATGATTTGTTTCGAAGGATCAAAAAGCGTACAAGAAGATGAAATGAACTTGAGAAATTGAGTGAATACCATGATGTAATCCTTGCATATGAGTGCACCATTTCGTTCCTTGACAATCATCAACATTTCTTCGAACAGAAACAATTGTCGATTTGTTTTTGAACCAGCCA